GATATTACCGGTGTTATATTGATAGGTCTATAGTTGCATACACTGGTTTTGGCCCCTGCTTTGTGCTTAGGTAATATGTATGTGGTTTTCCACACTTCAGGATAAGTTCCAGTTTCCAACGAGAGAGTAAATATTCTAAGTGACAAGACTACCATTTCCGTGCTACCATTTTTGTATATGACAGATGGTATGTCGTCTGTTCCAGTACTACCATTAGACTTCAAAGTCTTTATCGCAGAGTCTATATTTTGTATATTAAAGTCTATTTCGCCTAATTTGTGGTTACTTTTGCAGGTCATTTGGAAATTTTGGGTCGGGTGCACTCTGGCGTCATTGCAAAACCACTCATTGAGGAGTTCACTTATAACCTGGGGATCATTGTATATTATACCCTTATGTTCCAAGCTGCTTATGGTATTGTCTTTACTGCTTTTCAGACGTTTCTGCAATATCCTACAGAGTTCCTGAGTTTTGGAGTTACCCACAAGCGCTTTATTTTCTTCAAGTTGTGACATCATTTTGTGTTTATCTTCAAGCCGTTTAAGAGTTTCATGTATTTGGTTTAACGCATTAAATTCCTTAAATACATGGTATTTCCTTTTCAATTTCTTTAGTTTTAGTCGCGTTTTGCGGTCTATAAATGGAGTTGGTGTCTTTAGAGCAGATTTTAGGGGCGCGATTGTGTCTCTTGCTGAGCCAATTGTTTCGTAGAAAATATCAAGTGATACTTCAAAGTTATTGTTGATGAAGTATTCTTCCCAGTCAGAACTTCTCAGCAGATCTGATAGGAATTCCCAATCGGCATTCTTATAGTCCCTATATTGATAGTGCACCGGGTGTGTGTTTAGTTGTTAGTTGTTATTCGGAGGGGTAGCGTGCAGTACAATATGTTGTGATCACTGTTACCAAGTTTATTTCCTACCTCTATCGAGATGGGCTCTATTTCATGACAAAGGATTATGTCAAGAGTGTTTTCATTTCTTGTAGGGAGGCGTACGCACTGCTTCCATCCGCCTACGTCTATAGCTTGTAGTAGCTCGTCATGGATCCTAGGTCCTGTACAGGTATCCCAGTTTACTCCAGGTAAGTTGAAATCGCCACAGACTACTTTGTAGTCAAAGTCCAGTGAGGCTACATGCAGTACTTATAATTTGTAAGGATGGTAGATAACGAAAAGTACTAAATCAGTAGTCAAAGGTTATAAGTATCCGTTAAAATTAAAACAGCTGCTTACACAAGCTAGAATTGATACTTCAAAAATCGAAAAATCAAACAAGTGGTAAAGTTATTAGCATTGTTTACATGCGAATAGTGAAGGTTATTTATTTAGAAGTGATGGTAACTTGTCGATAGTTTTAGGGATGTTTTAGTTGATAGGAACTTGGGTGGTACAGTATAACAATGCATGGATAAGCAAAATCATCTGGCCAGTATACGCATATTTTTAAGTAAAACGCAATTGGGCAAAGTATTTCGAAGACAGGAGTAGAGCAATCTCCTGAAACTACTAATTTAGTGGGTAACTAAATTTTTTTTGAATTAAGACCGAAAGTAAACGGCATATGGTGGGCTAAGTGATTATCATTATTCAGTTGCGTTAGAATAAGTGCATCCAAATACTTGTCCGCTCATAATTCTGTCTTTTGAATAACTTATCGACATGGCGTTTACTTTTAGTTTTGAATTAGTAAGTAAAGGTGGATATCCCTAGGAGTTTCTTGATAAAAAGATTAAATTGTTGCCAAAGTAAGTAAATATGCTCATACCTGGAATACACCTAGATTTGGAGCTGTTTTTTCTACTACCACAACACCAGGTGACTCACCAATTAGTCACAAAGCAAAACTAGATCTTCCGAAGACAGTGTGCTCCTGACTTCTAGATATCGTAGTGTACCGTGAAGGAAGAAATATATCCATAGTTTAATAAGATTAGGCGCATGATATTAATTCAAAACTGAGTAACTACGATCGGCACCCACAGAACACACCATGTTACAATCTATTCCTTTAATCGTGTCAATCAGTGAGACGCCAGTTAACCGTAGAGAAGGAACACCACTGGTTTCAAGAAAATTCATTTGTGTTCCTTAATATTATGTACATTCCGTAATTATAGGCAAACTAGGAAACTCACCAACTCATTACATATATATGAGCAGCAGTTGAGCGTGCAACGGAGGGTCGATTAAAAGGAATGCATTCTCTATATGGGTCAGAGTTTACACAAAGTAACCTGGATGTCTGCAGGTGCGTATGTAAAGCGTTGCATTTGGCCAGCCTTTCGTCTACATGACTCAATGGGACACTTCCATATCTAACAAGTGCTCAGTCCATGAATTCTACTTGTGCCTGCAGGAATTTTACAACACAGGGAATGCCCTGCTGATATGTGTTGCTGTGTTACACTGGGGTTCCTTAGTTCACAGGTAGTTCACACTTTTGATAATATCAGTATTACCGCTTTTAGTTGAAAAAGTAATTCGACTGTGTCACAGATCCTTTTGGTTGAATTCTTCAATACCACGTATTGTTCTTTGTGAAGTTGCAGTGGAGAAACCCTACAAGGAGATATTTCAGCTTCGCCGACAATTAAATAGAAGCATTTCGCTCAGACGAGATGTGTACAGCAATGAATATACTATTAACTCTGTGTTCTCAGCCTTACATTACTCTATAAAACTTTCTTGTTTGGAAATGCAACATGTACATATATATTGTATCAGTGATTGCAAATACACACAAACATCTAAATTTCATACGCCTTCTGTCCCACTACTCCATATAATAATAGCCTGATAGTTATTTACGAATGCAGTAGCACTTCGTATTAAGCAGAATTATTGGCACAAAGTGGAAGTATTTTCGAGGACTAATAAGACGAGGTTAGCTTTTTTCTAATATATACGCACCTATCAACTCACTGAAAAGATAATGACGAATTGTTACTACAAGCATTTTATTTACTCTGTAGGGAATATTATTACTGACAAACTTCACAGCAACATGTACAGGTCTTGCATGTCCCTGCATAATATAAGCACACTAATTGTACTACGGCCTGAAGTGAATAATCTCAAGGCTCCAACTAACAACTTTGGGGTAGGTGGATGTATTGAAAGACTGCTTGCAGACACTACGTATGACGACATCTAGCAGAATGTCTACGAAGACTGACAAACTGCAATGAGGAAGACAAAAATGGAGCATGCATGAAAATTGACTTCAAGCTTTATTTTTTTCCCAGGCACTTATAATCAATCCAACAAAGACCTGGGTTTTGTTAATGCGAAGACAATACTTCTGTATTTCCTGATGTGTTGCACTCACTGACAATCTAGCAGATTTTTCCAACTGTGCACAGAAATGATTGTATATAAGTGAAAAGGCTGTTTTATACTACTGGGATTAACATTTATCAAGTGTATGTATAATCTCCAGCGAACATGTAAAGCATATCTTGCTACTGCCTGTAAATTGTGATTGAATTATATGGTTCTATTTCTGTAACAATTTGATGATGCCTGTAAACTGGCGTCCCTCATGTACTGTGCTATGAGAATAAATTTATTTATTTATTTGCTTCATGTGGAATGGCAATGCAACACGATGCGCAATGGAATCCATACGAATAAAGTGAAAAATGCAGTCTTCCTCATTCTCTAAACAACTTGTCTTTATTCCAATTAAGGCAATAAGTTTCGCTCACGTATGAGCCTAAGTTATGTCTATGAAATCGAAATATTGTAGCGATTATATCTTCCCTCAAAATGAAGGCCACTTGAAACACAAGTCCGCAATAGTGCTACACATTATGACCATAGTGCTAATGCTTTTTAACTTAAAGTGAAAAGCTGACTGTATTGAGTACATGAGAACTGAAATTAATGCTGAGTTATGAATACCAGCAGCTGCCAAACCAATTAAGACAATAGCGTCTCAATGAATGGGCCGAATATACCAGTACGATTGCATGAAAATTGAAAAATACGACTTTAAATTTTCAACTTCCTACCTTATTTAATCCATCACATTGCGCAGATACCAGTATCAAGCGACATTTCCCGATACAAGTGCTGTCAATCTAACGCAGTCCAAGTATATTATACCGCCGATATAATGTGAGTCATAAATGTTTTTTATTGTGAAATTTCATTTGAAAAGCATACAAAAATATAACTTGTTACTAAACCAATATAGCGGCGGACATGAACGCTACAATTAGTGAAGATGTGCAATAAAGCCACTCTCATGCAGCGACGAAAGGACTACGTCCAAACAGCTTATTCCTAAACTCTCATATGATATTGATGGGTAGATACCTAAACTCATCGTTATACTTCATGTTATCTCTAGTCTTTCTCTCCCGACCACTCTAACTATTACATCCTTTACACTATTACTATTGCAGATATGCATAGGTGTGCGTATTTACCAATTTCAAGTTTCATTAGCTCTCTGTTTTTACTTTTCCTTTCTTAGTTTACACAACCTATACTAATTATAGCTGTTATTATTATTTTCTATTTCCACACCGGACGATAAGCAAGTAAAGGATCAACTCCATTCACAGTAGCAACACGGTCTGAACACACCGCGCACCATAAACTCCTCATAATTAATCCCAGCATCACTCCTTTTGGGTTCACCCAAGCAATGACAGTCGGTTGGCGGGACGAACTACATAGAAGTTTACCGAAGACCAGGAACCTTTACTTCATAACCAAGAAAAGATCATGAAGAAATCAAATTGGTCTACATCAGCTCGTAGAAAACGATATTAGAAGATTCTCACTTTCTCAGTATGTTTACAACTTATATTAGTGTTCTAAAGTGACGACTGTATTACTTAGACTCGCACCAACCAGGAATGAATCACATCTTCTCCACGAAATAAGCTTGCGTATACCTGACGCTAATTTACCACTAGAAAGCTGGCGCTGGGGTATTCTTTTTTCAAACCAACTTATTAATTGTACATTGGAAATTGAAGGTCATCCCGGCAGATTTGTATTGAAGGCCGTAATCTCCGCGAAACTTGTGTGTACACTGCCTAATTGTGATGTAACGCTATTTCTTTCTAATCTGTTATAGTTAAGGCCACATTTATTCAAGTAGAGGAATAGCTATCCAAGGAAATGAACAGACTAAAGACCTTCAAACAGCTATTTGCACCAACTTGACAAATTTGGTTTAAAAAATGGAAACAGTTAAACGTCTATGATAGAGAAAGAAAGTGTAGAGAGAGATAAAACCTCTAGTATTCTTGTCACTTTTCAACTTTTCTTGGGGAATGTGGTGTTTTTCGTTACGTTCCATTGTTTTCAACTGATTAGGTCACTGTTTGGGTATAGAACGGTGTAGACGAACTGAAAATAAATAAAACTTCTCCTCATGCTGTAATGGTCTCTGCAGACTAGAAGACGACTAACGTACATAGGTTCACGTGAGATGAGACTAGGTTAACAAATAACCCGTGTGAATAGGGAACCGTAATCAGTGTTTTATTGATAGAGATCTATTTCGCACACGAGAGTTCGAATTGCCTAATTCTAAGCAAACTCACCACTGGAACCTGGCAAATGTTTTCCTTGGAAAAACGGGACAGAGTTTCATCACTAAATTGAAAGGACTGCCGATTTTTATTGGCTGCGAAGTCTAACCGTGATTCGATTTTGTATGCAGTCCGATTTTTAGAATCGATATGTAATTTATAAATAGGTAGGTATTTTAACTGTTTTCGTCTACGTAGCAAACTGTTGTCGCTGTGTTTTGAGTTATTTCTCTTCGCCCATGTTAACGAGGATTTTGGCTACCCTTCAGCAAACGGTGCTTAGTTTTCATTTTTGTATGACGAGTAGTCGTAAGCTCTAACTAATTGGGTTTATCAGTGAAATAGAAACTTCCGAGTATTTGTCGGCCGAAATATGTGACTGTCAGTGAACCGGTGGCTTTTCAACGTGGAAATTCAGCTAGAAGCTGGCGAGTTTCGAGTTGAAACATAGCGTTACTTGCCCGATTAAGGTTAAACAGGTAGTGTCACCAGCCTTCGTATTAAAAAATGTAACTCAACTTGTGTAACAATGTGATTATGGTATTGGAGAAAGTGCATTCTCCTCAGAAGGCAAGATACGGAAACCAAGGTATATTTTTAATTGATCGAATCGCTGTATATATATATATATATATATATATATATATATATATATATACTATTCTCTAACCAATCATTGAGCGTGTGATTTAGGCTAACATTAAACGACGTGAAATAGAATGTTCAAATATCCATAGTATTCTGTTGCTAACGCAGTATTGAACTGTGGGAATATGTGAGAACAATATTCCGTTGGAACACATTGTCTGCATCACACACTACCACAACACAACACATTCAGTAACTGCAGTTTACTGATTGTGTATAATACTGTACATAGCCTCTTTCTTAGGTGGATTATAACATTTTGTACACCTTCGTCGATTCAACCAAACGCCGCACAAAATAACAATTATTTTAGGTTCAGTGCGTTACATTTACAGAAATCAGCATTTTGGAACCATTCAGTCAGTTCGCCTCAGTGAGCTTAAATTACTAACGTAGCTTCATTAACAAGCATAACTTTCCAAACTTTAACATGATTGCATAAAAATTATAGTTTGTACATCTTTTTTGTGAAAAGAACAAAACAAGTAGTTCGGCGAAGTGACCATTTTTTTCTGCGAATTCATTTTCTTTAGCTGTACAGCGGAATTTATGTACAACTTTTCCACAAAGGAGTGTATTAACAAAACATGAATGTATTGTCATAATCATAGCTGTTAACATTAATTAATGAGTGAAAGGGGTTGAATAGGTGTGTTAGAGATACTCAATAAGATGAATAACTTAGTGAACGAATTTTAATCAGAATGCACATAAAAATAACAGAAATTGTAATATTACTTAAGGGTTCAAAAGAAATGGAAATTAGGAAGAGCTAGAACCAAGCTAGCAAAATCAAGCTGGTGGAAAACAATAGGTTCATTACCATGGTAGTATTAGTGGTTGAAGGGTCTATTTGTGTATTCAGAGCCCCGGTCTCTCCGTCAGAATGACCAGTGCTTCAGCAGTGCAGTGGAGGCGGAAACGTATTGTCTTCGATAGGTTGTTTTACACTTTGTAGATTACTTGGAAGGATGAATTTGTTGAGATGGAATGACGAGTGTAAACAGGGTATTCAATTATCTCACTTACTTTCTGAAACCATGCAGACTAGTGTTCCTGAACCCTTTTACACAGGATACGCGTCGAACGATGAGTATACTTGGCTCCACAGGAAAACGTCAACTGATATATATACACTTAGAAGTGATCAGATGCGAGATCTTGTCCTTAAGGCTTCTACAGACCAATGGACGATTGCATAACACTGTCACAGTTGTCGCAAAGAATGCTCTTCTCAAAGATGAAGAAATTCTCCTCTTAGGGATATCACAGGTTGTCCTCCTTGAAATGCAGATTCATGTGAAGTATCTTTTATGGATCAAGTAGTTTTCCATTCCTCTGAACTTTTGGTTTGATATTCTTGCCAATGAGTCTCACCGTGAGTATCAATTTTAGATAAAGATTTGTCCAAGAAGTGCTGGTTCTTCTTCTAGAGTGTTAGGGCTACAGATATGTGAGATGTGAGTGACAAGTAATCTAACAAAAATGCGTTTTCGTTCAACAGGCACCCGATTGTAGAGACACTTGTCAGTTGACCGTTCTGTGTTAGTTTCCTCTTCTGTGAATCACTTGTTTTGTTTTCATTTCACTAATGCCTAAATAAGGATTATTCATTTTCTCTATCGCACCGTTAAATACAATGAAAACGAGCAGTTTTAGTATATATTACTCTTAGGGATTCCACTATTAGTTACTCCTACCATATAGTTAGTTTTAGATTCACTCAGTGTGTATATTTCATCAAAACTAACAATCTAATTTAGAAATATTGTTGGGTTAAAATATTCCTATTTATTCGGACGCCTTTTTAAAAATATCTTTTACGTTCCCAGTGGAATATAGGACTTCAAGCTAGAGGTTTGAAGTCTCGGTAGAAGTGGTGTTTATTTTTGCGGGATGGGTTTGCTAACCTCTTGCCCAACCTCCCTTCTTCACCAGTCTTATTACTGGCTTAGCAAGGTAAAGGAGTGCGTCGGTGGCCGGTCATCGAACCGCGAACCACATGTGTGGTCGGTGAGCATTTTACCGCTGGGCCACCGACACACCGACGCTTGCTGAAAATAATTCCAACTATTAGATTTCATCACAAACCAACATCAGTTAGAGCTCATTGGCAACTCGGTCTCATGACCTAAAGGTCCTAGGTTCTACCCGTCGTCGGCGTGCACTGTTGAAGAGTCCCAAAACGGGGTGAAACATTTTCCTAATGCTGCCTGGTTTTCAGTGATCTCTCAGTGATATTCTAAATCCCCACAAATCCTATAATCTAGATTCTACTCGCCATCTCATTGACGGTTACTGCATGAATTTCCTGAAACTGTAGTGGGAAGTCGTCACCAGTAGTAGAGTTCACTATGTCAATGGGAAGTAGATCCTCATCGAAGGCACTGGTGTGAGAATACCGCTATATCACGAGTTGACGAATTTAGAATTCAATTCAAGGATCATTGAATTCCAGGACAAGCGGCCAGTTGGTCAGTGAGCTTAGTCTCATAACCTAAAAGTCCTAGGTTCGACCTCTTGGGGTGTGAACTAATGAAGAATCCCAAAATAGGACGAAATAGCTTCCCGATGCTCCTTGGTTTTCAATGGTCTCTCTCCTTCTCTCCCTCTAAATGATGTTAGTTCGTGACGAGAATCTAACAATTGGAATTCATCCAAATTCCCCACTAGTCCCATAATTTGAACTGTTAAACTGTATTTTTGTTGACTTGAGATATTCCGTCCAACCACCAAGTAACTTTAATGCTTGCAAAAATTCATTTTGTCAGTCAAAAAAATGTCCGAAGAGGCTTGAGATGATGCACACAGACCACTTTTTGAATTATTTTAGCTAACTTAAAAAAACCGGAGTTCACCTTCACCATAACTGCTTCCCGACCGAAAGCTGCTACCTTGACGTGGTGATTGAGCTTGAACACCACAATGACCTAACAAGCTATATTAGCTGAGACTTATGTTGCTTGAGGTCCTACCATGCCAGAAAGGTAGTTTGGATAGCGGTTAGACAAAAAGCAGTTACCCAATCCAATGCTATGACTCAAACAAAATCACAAAATATCATGCCGGATCGGTCGAGGCCCGGATTAACAACGACCGCGCTTCCTGTTTTCGTGTCACAGGGCAGAAGTGATAAATATGCTACTGAGAAACACCAAATAAAAAAAGGACAAACAAAAACAGGCCGTGTGTGACCGGCCTCAAGCAGTTGTCCCCTGGGCTCTGCGGTCACGTAACCAACTTCCACGGTGTGGGCAGCCAGGAAGTAACAATCGCCCTCACAATTCGAAATGCACGCGAAACCTCTCTAATCCTCATCACCATAACTAGTCTTGTGTGTTTTTAAGTGTTTCTTTTATTCCTTTACGTTCCCAGTGGAATATAGTGCTTCAAGCTTGAGTTTTAAAGTCTCAGTAGCAGTGGTGTTTACTTTTACTGGATGGGATTGCCACTCTTACTCCCCACCTCCCCTCTTTCTCGAGTTTACTACTACTGAAGCAGGTTTTAAGAGTGCGTCAGCCGGAGGGTCGAACCCTGGACCACTGGTGGCGTGGTTGGCGAGTATTCTGTAATTTATATGACAGAGTTTCGACGTAGAAATGCTTAAACATAAATTATTATTAAATTTTTTACTTTTCATGGAATATTTCATCATTTCGACAAAAAACTTTATTGTCTATAACCTGAATCTACTACGTGTTTTTGGTTCTAGTATTCTTGAAAATGAATCCAAGTCTCATAAAGGAGAGGGAGGCTTTCCTGAAAAGAGCTATGGCTATGCCAGTTGTTGAGAAACCAAAAGCAAATCCAGCAACCTCCTCCTCTGCCTCCGCCGCCTCAGAAGGAAATAGCCTTCGTCGACCGCCTCCTTCAGTTGCTTCTTCTTCTTCGGTATCTACTGAATTACGATCTGTTGATTCTACAAGACCTTCAATTCTACAAGGAAAATTTGCTGTGTTATCCAGGATTGTAAAATACATGAAGGTTTGTTACCAATCATATGAGATTCTGACTTAGCTGCTGTTGCTGCTCTGTTTTTCTGCTTCTTTAGCAACGTCATTTAGAAGGTGATACACATCCATTATCAGTGGATGAGATCCTTGAAGAAGCTGTACTGCATGATACACCACCAGCAACTATCCGGTGGTTAGAAGAAGAAGTAATTCTACTCTCTTCCGCCTTTTTGTTTTGAAAATATCTTTGCTAGGCTCTTCCAAATAATCCAAAGATTCGTGTGACTGAGGATAGAAAATTTGTCTTCCGACCTAGATATGATATACGTACACGGAAAGACTTGTATCAGTTACTTCGTCGTCAAGAGTTAAAAGGATTGGGTGGAATTTATTTGGACGATTTAACTGAATCTCTACCTGATGTGGAAAAAATTCTTGCTGTAGGTAAATCAGTTAATTTAATTTATCAAATTCTGGTTTATTTATTTATGTGTACATTTCTGATTTTGATTATTATATTCTCAAAGAATAAAAGCAACAAAATTTTAGAATAAGATGTATATTTCATTTTACTATTCTGTGATTTTTACGCATATATTATTATTATTATTTTAATTATAATTTCCTTGGGTTCCGAGTGGCACATTCGACTTCGACAGCGTACCTCCATTACATTCTATTCTTTACAGTCCTCTTTAGCACGATCTCCTGTCTGTCTGTCTATCTGTCAGGTTTCAACATAGAACTTTGCACAAATGTGCAGCAGTTCAAGTCGCCACCATTTCTCCATGTAGCACACAAAGCAAGAGAAAAAAGTAGAATAAATGCAAAATAGAGACAGTAGACAGGGATATGAGACAAAAGAAATAGTAATAACGGAGAACATTATAATTTTATTGGAAATTATAAGTCACCAGGAGTGGATGCATCTGCGCCAGCCATTGACAACGATGAGTTTGAGCCATATCACCAATTGTCTGTCTCCAGCCATTGGCTTTTACCGTCCCGAGGACCCTAACCAGCCATTCAGGAAGTCTACACCTTCCTACATGGCAGGTTTAAACTATCTGTTGTGGATTTGATTGACCGGTAAAGCCATTTTTTGGTTTGACTACCTCCACCACTAGCTCTCTTCCAACCTGATCCATCCTATGTCAGTCAGCTAACATTGCCAATTGTCGTCGAGGTAGGCGATCAATGGCTGAGCATACCTAACACATATCCTATCTTGTGGTTTCACAACCTCGTCGATTGACGACTTTCCCTCCTTACCTAATGCACTCAATGCCTAACCTGAATGTTACTCACCCTGTTTATTAAATCACCTGTTTAACACGGCAGATAGAATGAAGACACCTATTATAAAAGACAACTAGCCTTTCCATAAATCATCCACTTTCGCAATAGGCATATCTCACAGTGACGATAAGGAAGGATTTAGTGAACTGGTGCTGTGCAGTACCCACACACATATATATATATCGTTTAATCGATAGCCAACTGGGGATATCATCACGTCTATGTCAGGGATGACGTAAGTTCATAATAAGAATAGAATTATTGTTTTGTAAAACATCTGAATAACACTCATTGTACTCTGTATATAGAGTTTATCGACAAATTACCACTGCTACATTTAACCCCCGCATTTTTCTTTTTTCTTCTTCATAGAGTTTCGGTGATCATGTCATTCGTATTGTAACACCTCATGATAAGAAGACTATTTTATTTTACAATGATAAATCATTCGATTTGAATGTTGATGAAGGTAAGTGTGGTGATATGTCATTAGACAGACCGTTTTTTGATTACAGAATTTCATCATGAGCTGACTTTGGTTAGAGAACCATTGGAAAACCAGCTGGGAGTACTGGACATCTGTTTCATCCTAGTTTGGGACTCTTCAGGGGCACGTACCCACACTATGGGGTTCGAACCCAGGACATTCTGATTACAAGGCGAGCTAGCTCGTGGACCATTAAAAGACGCTGGAACCCTATCCAATGGCCCATGAATTTTAACTTCTGCCAATTCACGATATAGAACAACCGCTAGCCAATGTCTTCGGCGAGTATTTGTCCTCACACCCGACCTGCTGCACCCTACTGGTCACGACTTCCCACTGGAACCCCAGGTAACTACCTAATTGAATAGGACCAGTCACCCCATGTTGTGAATTGAGAGAAGTTGAAATTCATGGGTTGACCATTGGATCAAGTCCCAGTGAGTTAATGGTCTACGAACTCGCCCTGTAACCAGAGGATCCTGGGTTCGAACCCCGGTGGATTCGTACTGATGAAGAGTCCCAAACTAGGACGAAACAGCTGTCCAGTACTCCCAGCTGGTTTTCCAATGGTTCTCTAACCAATGTCAGCTCATGATGAAATCCTGTAACCAATCAACCAAATCCCTACAAACCAATACTTGAAGACTGTTTTTTGTTTGTTTTGTGATCATGACTTTTATTGTTTTTACTTGATTTAATTGGAAAATTTAATTGTCATTTTAAAGTTTAAGGAGCTCAAAAATCCCCATTGAGTCATATAAAAAAGAGAAGACGTTCAACGAAGAGACTTTTCGACGACGAATTCATTCACATAGTTATACAGTCGCATTTATATATAATTATTTATGTGTGTGTGTGTACATGAGGTTTGTCAAGTTTAGATAATTAATCAGGTAATACAAGAATGATCTAATATAGAAACAAGGTTAATTAGACAGCAACTAGAGTAAAATTGAGTTAGTTAGTAAGTTAGATGACGTAATATAATTGACTAAAATGTTTCAGCTTAGATCAGAGTAGCAACAGGGGTAATTACAGGGAGAGACTAAGTAGAGGTGGGGTAGAGAATAATGCCATTTAAATTAGAACTGAAAGTGAGCAAATAAGTTGGAGGCCGTAACATAAATGACTAGAAATTGAGCGTTGGTCAAGTCACTAAGAGTGGTAATCAAGTGTAGAAATTAAATCGGGTGGGTGTAGAGAACAGGAAAGCTGAAAATGTAAAATATTACAATTGAGAAGACAAAATAATTCTAATGAAGAGACAGAAGAGAAAAGGATTAGGTAGAATTTACCTGTCGGGTAATAAGACAGATTACGTCCATTGCAAGTGCAGTGATTGAACGAACTTCTTCTGTATGTAGAGTTCACGACTTATTATTATTATTATTTTTATTATTGTTTCCTTTAATTTCTAGAGGAACATAGGGCTTCAACCGTGAGTCTCCATTGCGTTCGGTTCTCTGCTAGAGTCTTCACCTGGCTCCAAGTCTGCCCACACGTTTTCGTCTCCTCTTCACATCACCCCCTCCTCAAAGTCACTCTTGCACTGACGACCAACTCGCCGCTTCCCGTTCGACCGGGTTCCACTCGAGCAATGGCTTGTCTAGTGATGTCACTTGATAGTTTCTTCAGAGTATGGCCAGCCAATCCATCTCCATTTCTTCCTGCTCATTTGTTGTACAATCGGTTCCTGGTTGGTTCGTTCATCGCCAGAGATCCCTGTTTCTGATATTTTCTGGCCGGTCATCTGATCTTGAGTAGTATTGAGCGAAGACAGCTAGCTGCTGATGAAGGTCTGTAGTTTGTTTGGGATGCTCTTTATGACGCGCTGGCCAAGTCTCTGATCCATAAAGTAAAACTGACTTCATATTGGAGTTGAAAATCCGGATCTTACTTTTGATGCTGAGTGATGAGTGCTGTTGACCTCCACACAGGCTTGAGGGTAGTGAAAGCTTGTCTTGCTTTCCCGATTCTTGCTTTGATATCCTCGTCAGTTCCGCCTGTAGTTGAAACGATGCTTCCCAGGTAGGTAAAGGAGGTTGTTTCCTTTAGGTTCCTCCCATTTATGCTGATCGTTGTCTGTTTTTGTTGTTCTTGTCCAGGAATCTTCATTACTTCTGTTTTCTCTATGTTCATCTGAAGTCCTGTCTTTGATGCTTCTTCTGCCAACTTGTTGCTTTTCGCTTGCATATCTTCCAGTTTGTGGGAAGTGTGGAGTTCACGACTTAGCAAGTAAAAATTGCCATTGTTTCTGCAGTTTGAAGAAGTCTGGCTTGTACATTTTCTGGAAGACTGCTTTGTATTCTGTAGACGACTTTGAATTTTGTTTGGGGTGTAGCTTGGTATCGGGGATCTATCAGATGTTCTAAGATAGATCTGCTGGGGCATCGTTTTTCTCCTTTGTAAAACCATGTTGGTAAGTGTTCGGTGATAGGTTTGGATAGAGAACCCTAATTGTACGTCCGACACACCTGACTCCACACGAGTAGGTGAATCGGTGGATACACATGTGGTCAATTATATTACGTCATCTAACTTACTAACTAACTCAATCTTACTTTAGTTGATTTAATTACAAAATAGATATAGCACACAAGCCAGCCAGCCAGCTAGCCAGCACAATCATCACTTCATTCGATATTGTGCAAACTGAAAGATTCAGCAGAAAAAGAAGACAAGGTTATTGCCATTTACAAAATAAACTGTATGAACTGGAATAAAAATAACATTACATCTGTCAAAGTGGGCATGCACCCCTTCGAATCCGAATCCAAGAACACAAATCAGCTGTGAAAAGACGTGATATATATGTATATATTTTCTTTCGCATTAATGCATGCGGATAATTATGAACACCACAATTTGATGATTGGGATAGATGTAGAAATGTTAAGTAGAGGAAACACCGAAAATGCAGTCAGGGAATTCCTAGAAGCCTGGTTGGTACTCAAGTGAATCAGTCAGAGATTAACAAACATGTTAGTATAGAACAAGCTTACCAGCTAATAAAAAATAACTCACATGACAAGGAAGTTCGAATTTCAATTCGATAAAAATATGATCAATAGAGATGTAAATTAACAAACAGCCAGTCACGACAGTGAGGTTGCCTGGGTGATACAATCATACCATTCATGGAGAATTTAAATGAGTTCATTTTATCTTCTATAGTTTGGTTTGTAAGGGTTAGTTATGTTTTTACGAGTTGATCATGGATTGATATCAGCTAGAGAACCATTGAAAACCAGCCATAGGGAGTACTGGACAGCTGTTTCGTCATTCTTATTTCTTGGGAATCATCGGCAGTACGCACCCACACTATAGGGTTCGAACCCAGGACCTTCCGATTGCAAGTTAAGCTGGCTCGTATACCATTCAGCCACTGGGACCCGATTCAATGGCCAGTGAATGAATTCTAACTTCTACCAATTCGTGATTTAGCGCGACCCCCCAAACTATAGAAAATTAATCTGATGCTCACTAGTGACTTGTTCCAGGATGGAGTTTCCTTGAGTTCTAGTGAGAAGTCGTGACCAATGAGGTCCATCCAGATGTCACGTATGAGGATGAATGTCCCACCGACGACAGTGGTTGGGGTCGCGCTAAATCACGAATCGGTAGAAGTTAGAATTCATGCACTGGCCATTGAATCGGGTCCCAGTGGTTGAATGGTATACGAGTCAGCTTGCCTTGTAACCGGAAGGTCCTGGGTTCGAGCTGTGACGAGGATCAACAGAGATTCGAAGGGAAACTAATGCTGAGATGAGAGATATTGATAAAACTGTTATCCTTTATGTGTTCTGTTTCCTTCTATATAAATATAAATGACAAGTACTCGTGTATGTGTGTGATTAGAATATCCGAAATGTGTTGCACAAAAACACATTTCACGTGTATATCAGATAAATCACGTCTTCTTATTATTTTGTCGAAATTCCTCGTAGGGAACTAATTGCTTTGAATTTCCTTGAAACGTTTTTACAGTTGAGCAGTTTTCAAAAGGTTAGTTAGCAGAGATTAGATTTGCCTCAAATTTCATCACGGATTGATATCAGTCGAAGAACTATTGAAACATATCGGGGAAGTACTTACTAGATAGCTCTTTCGTCCTAGCCTGGGACTCTTCACTAGTGCGCACCCATGATAATAACCCAACCTCCAACGTTCAGACAGACCCTCGGCCTTCAGGTTACAAGTTGAAGCTCGTTGACGATTCAGCCACTTGGACACGGGGAATCCAATGACTCGTGAATTTTATCGTCGGTCGATTCGCGACATAACGCCTACCGTCGATCGACCAGTGCCTTCGATGAGAATCTATTTCACCTTGACACGGTGGATCCCACTGGCCACGACTTCAAGGTATCTATGCAGTAGCCATTGATGATCTGGAGATTGATCGATATTTAGATTGTGGGATGCCTATAAAGAGAGTGGTATCATAGGGTGTCAGGATGTGATTTCAGAAATAACGTCTTTTCAATTTTGCCTCGTAAATGCCACTATATGTCAACATCGTAACTGGATGGAGGATTTCATCATTAGCTGACATCAGTTAGAGAACCACTGGAAAACCTGGGAGTACTGGACAGCTGTTTCGTCCTAGTTTGGAACTCGTCATCAGTGCGCACCTATTAGGGTTCGAAACCAGGACCTTCTGGTTACAAGGCGAGTTAGCTCATAGATCATTGAGCCACTGGCCAGCCCACGAATTTTAACTTCTGCCAATTCATGACATAGGAAAACAGGTGGCAAAAGGCAAATGATAAGTGAAACAATCTCGGAGAAAAATGGCACCATAATTAGCTTCGAGGATAGACGACTGGAACGCTGGAAAGAGCACTATGAGGAGCAGCTTAATTGGCCTACAGCCACACTTAACCACCCGAACATCCAACACCTCCCTGAATGGGATATAGACACAGGTCCTCCTTCCTTAACTGAGGTTACTAAAGCTGTCACTAATCTGAAACCAGGCA